GGAGCAGAAATGCAAGAGTAATAACAAAAATAAAAAATCAATGGAAAACCTCACAAGATTTCCTCAGCAGCATCCGTCTCCAAAGCCACAGACTCTCTCCCCTCCCCTCCCCCTTCTCTCCTCTCTCTTCCACTCGTTACTCCCGCTCTCACATCTCTTCACACTCGTTCCGGGCCGGGTCACCACCTGAAACATCGCGTTTTGAAAGTTTTACTCGGTAAAACTGAGAGAGACGGATGAGAAAGGAGGTGAAGAAGAGAGGGAGGGAGGGAGTGGCAGATCAAGATCGAAAGGGGGGCAGGGAAGGGAGAAGGGAGTTTATAGAAGAAGTGAGGAGAGAGAGAGGGAGAGGGAGTGGCAGATCAAGATCGAAAGGGGGGCAGGGAAGGAGAAGGGAGAAAGGAGTTATAGGAAAGAAGTGGAGAGAGAGAGGGGGGGGGATGAAGAGGGGAAAGATGGGGAAGGGAAGGAAGAGAGAGAGGGCGAAAGGGAGGGAGGGAGGAAGAGAGAGGGAGAAAGGGAGGGAGGGAGGGAGGGAGGGAGGGAGGGGGGAGGGAGAAGAAGAGAGAGAGAAGAGAGAGAGAGAGAGAGAGAGAGGAGAGAGAGAGAGAGAGAGAGAGAGAGAGAGAGAGAGAGGAGAGAGAGGAGAGAGAGAAGAGAGAGGAAGAGAGAGAGAGAGAGAGAGAAAGAGGAGAGGAGAGAGAGAGAGAGGAGAGGAGAGAGAGAGAGAGAGAGGAGAGAGAGAGAGAGAGAGAGAGAGAGAGAGAGAGGAGAGAGAGAGAGGGAGGGGGGGGGGGAGAGAGAGGGAGAGAGAGAGAGAGAGAGAGAGAGAGGAGAGAGGAGAGGGAGAGAGGAGAGAGAGAGAGAGAGAGAGAGAGAGAGAGAGAGAGAGAGAGAGAGAGAGAGAGAGAGAGAGAGAGAGAGAGAGAGAGAAACAGACAGACAGAGAAAAAAGAAAGAAAGAGAAAGGGAGAGAGAGGGAAAAAAAACACACACACAAGAGTGACATGCGCGAATACATGCAGTTAGGAAACAGAATGCATTGGCGAGGTATTTCCTGTTGCAAAACTACTTTCACTCGCGGCGACTCAATGGAAGCGAATGGGCTGCTTGTCGCGTGATCCCGAGCCTCGACCATAGCAACACGTGAGAGTAATTTATACGAAGGAGGTCAGGTAGCTGCAGCACGGGGGGGGGGGTGAGGGGGGGGGTGGGTGGGGGAGGGTGTGTGCTCAACAGACGGATCGTTATTTTCCTATTGTCAGTTTCCTTTGTTATCGTCTGTTCGTACTTTTTACGTGGTACGTGTTTTTATTCGTTAATCCAAGTCTTTTACTCTATTTTCTATTGTCAATTTGGACAATTTACGCGATGTTTTTTTTTGTCATTATCACCACCAATCTTGCTATTTCGTTTTTAATATTTAGTATCATTATTTATTATCATCAATTTATCATCTCATATTACATTATCTTGATCAACATTATCAAAATTACTAAAATAATTTAGGCCTTTGCCATCTTTTAAAACTTTTATCCCTATCAAATTGTCATAATTTCCGATGACAGGTTGGTAATGACAACTATTTAATAATTGCCAAGAAACAATGATTTTATTCAGACATGTTGTATTCGGTCATTTATCACCAATCTCTCAAATACATCTTCGTCTTGGCAAGAGAAAAAGGAAGAAGAAGAAAGAGAGGAGAAGGAGAAAGGAAGGAGGCAAGAGGAGGAGGAGGGAAAGAAGAAGGAGGCAGAGTAGGAGGAGGAGGAAGGGAAGAAGGCAAAGTAGGAGGAGGAGGAGGAAGGAAGAAGGGAAGAAGGCAGAGTAGGAGGAGTAGGAGGAGGAGGAAGAAGAAGAGAAGAAGAAGAAGAAGAAGAGAAGAAAGAAGAAGAAGAAGAAGAGAAGAAGAAGAAGAAGAAGAAAGAAGAGAAGAAGAAGAAGAAGAAGAAGAAGAGAAGAAAAGAAGAAGGCGGAGATGAAGAAGCAAAACAAGAAAGTATGGTTTTCCACTGTTGTGATATCTGTGTCTTTTCCTAGTGTTTGAGAGGCAGTTCGTGTAGCTAAGGTCGTTAGAAATTACAAATACTATGTCTGTTTTAAAATCATCATGATATTAACATAATCACCATTATCCTTGTTTTTGTTATTGTTATTAAAGATGGTTTCTGCTTTAATTTTCCTTATATATTATCATCTCAAGTCTGCTGTTATTCTCCCTAATTTGTTATTCTTCATGTCGTTCTTAATTGCACCATCATCACATTACGATGACCATTGCTGATTTCATTTTGTTAGTTACTGTTTTAAAATGACGTTTCTGCCTTCGCTATTACTGTCAAGATAGTTATCATTATTGTCTCTATTTCGTTACTGTTTTTAATTTATGGAGTTATTATTATCAATGTTGTTGATTTGTATTATCACTATTGTTGTAATTATTACCACTTTTATGATTATTACCATCGCTAATAGTATTTGTTGTTGTCGTTATTATCATTATCAAAATTATTAATATAATCATTATTAGTAGTAGTCATAGTCTTTATATCATCATCATTATCATTATTATTATTACTATTATCATGATTGTTCTATAATTAATATTATTATAATTATCAATATTACTAGTATCCTCATCATTATCAAGGCTGTAGTGTTATTATCTTCACTATTATTATCATCATTGATGATAATATGATTATTACCATTATCATTATATTTACCATTATCTCCATTGTCAGCTTTACCATTTACGCTATTTAAGTATTCTCAATACTATATCATTACTATTAATAACAGTATTACTACTACTATGTTACCATTGTAACTGTGATTATTATCGCTCTTGGATGAAAAAGGGTTATAAAAATACATTGTATTTTTTAGTGGACGCAATGGCCACTCTGTCGGCCGGTTTGTTAAAATTGTGCGGGGCCCGAAGTAATGAATATTCTTACATACAGACATGCACATACATATAAATAAATGTATATCTGTTTAATAACATAGATACACATTTATGTATTTGTTCGGTTGATATGCATGTCTAGACTGATAAATAGGCATTTCTTTATTCATGAATGTCAAGTATATGAATATTCTCTGGGTAGGGCCTCTCGCAATTCTAACAAACCGGTCGTGTATCACAACGCCAAGCACGCAAGCACACACACACGCACGCACGCACGGATGTAAAACGATAATAAATAACCGTTGATGAGCGTGCAATGTCGCTGCGATTTATGCTGCAATTTGCATATTGTGCCAACTTCAGATTACGCTTCCCATTAGGCTGTTTATCTGGCAGGAAACGACGGTGACTAAAAGTGCACTTATTCATTCACTAATTTCTGAAATCATTCGCTCCTTCCACTAATTACTGATGGCTCTGCGATTACAGCGATAAAAGCAATTCGGTTAAAAACACTTTGATCTACGTTCTGCTAATTTCCACAGAACAGGATGTTATTTGTAAATTTTCCCTGCGTCTTTTATTCTTGTATTTATTTACTTATCTATATTATTTATTTATTTACTTATTATTTTATTTTTTTTATTTTATTTTTTTTTTTTGCTACAAGAAATGGACTGAATCTTCCATACGTAACACCTTATCACAGAACACTTATTAAGAGTAAAAGTCCTGCTTCTGAGATGAGCACCGACAGAGTCCTTGGCAGCGGAGCACCTGGCGGGTAAGTGGGGGTGGGGGGGGGGGGGGGGGGTTGGACCGGCCTGCAGTAGGAAAATTTTACTACTGGAGGTTTCCATTGTCTGACGGGAGAATGGATGTCCTGGCTGTACTGCAAGTCACTGTCTGGACTTCACTGTCATGTCAGCGGGCTTCATCAGGTGTCACATGACGTGCCATTTAAGAGCTTCACTATCAGTCGGAGATTTAGTTTTAGTTAGCATGGAGGTCATGTCTCGCCCCGTCACACGAGTTCTACGGCGCTCAGAGTGGAACTAAGAGTTTGAGCTTCGCGGCATTTCACAGCTGAAGCCTCACGTCACCCTTCACTACTGAAGGAATACGTCAAGCTTCACCACTGAACATGCTACGTAGCGACACATATATAATGAGATGTTTTATTTCTCGTAGAATACTAGTATATTCAACCAAATTGATGCACAGTATATTTCACAGTATATTTGTGCCATATGCGATTAAAGCGATAATTTCCACAAGTTGCTAATAATTGCTAATTTCCACAAGTACAGAACAAGATATTATTTGCAAATTTTCCCTCTTTTTTACGGAAATGGACTGCATCTTCCCTACGTAACACCTTCTTATGCACAACACTAGTCTCTTCCTCTGCCTACTGCTTGCGTCCTATGACTTTCTAAAGGTAAATACTAAGCACCGATTATCAGTAACACGAGCCAAAAAATTGACTTCTTCATTGTATTTTTTATCTGTTTTAATATACCTTAAAGGTTCACTGTTACAAGAGCTAAACATTGTTATAAAGATAGTAAGATCAATGATAAGTGATAAGTGATCAGCCAATTTTCGAGATAAACTAATGGAGCAGGAAGTGATTTTAAAAATCTGTGGTTTACTGTCCTCTAATACCAAGCCTAATAAAAGGAAAACAAATCAAACTGTTCTTCGTCCGAATAACTCAGCTTCAAATCAGAAATGTTCATACCAAGGAACGCTACACATCACGCCACAAATGAAGCCAGCGTCCGCCCGAGATACTTTCCGTGAATCGTTCCAGCACTTGTCTCGCGGGTGGCTTCGGGGGCCAGTCACCGTGACAGACAAGTGTAAGGTTAGTCATCACAAAACTAAGGTAATTCCTTACCCGTAGGATGACAAGGCGATAGTGATCATTAAATCATTTTATGTTCTATTATCCCCCTTTCAAGCAGGAAATCTTATGATGTATTGCAGGAGTCAAATACTCACGTGTTAGGAACATGTGACGTAAAAGAAACATCAGCTCAATATCGCTATGTTATTTTGATGTTTTCAGGACACTTACCCGCTCTATGAATGGATGTCCATTAACTCTTCCGAGTAGCAGGGAATCCCGCACAACAGACGCGACGCTACAAGTTTCTGTACGCCCACAAGGTTACGGCATGAACACACGCGCACACACACTTGTTGATTCCACTACGCTGCTTCCGTGCCAACTGCCTCTCTTCAGATCCAGAGCTCTCCCCTTTCTAGTCCTTACTCTGCGATTCGGATCAACAGCGGGCGTGGGCGTGGGAGGAACACCAGGTCGCCTCCATACGACAGACTGGACGACCACAAAGCCTACGACACCTGCTCCGTCGTCTCCGCAGCACAGTTCTCAACCACAGCGAAGCGGAGACTAGCTACACCGTCCGCTCGCCCCAGAGTTGCCACGTACTCTATTACGAGCCGTGGTGGTCGTGGGTGACTGAGCACGTGGTGGAGGGGTTGGAGGGGGAGGGCGAGGAGGAGGAGGAGGAGGAGAGAGGGGAGAAGGCGATGGAAGAGGAGGAGGAGGAGAAGGAGGAAGAAGAAAGGGGAATAGGAGGGGAATAAGATGGGAGAAGGAGGAAAAGAATGCGAACGATGCTCGCAGAATTCAGCATATGGACTTGACGATAACCGATTGCAGACTGGTCGTTTAGCAACTGGATCGTGTTACACGCTCGTATGTACATATGTATACATGGAACCGTGTGTGCGTGTGTGTTTGCCGTTTATTATAGGCCTATGCGTTCGATCATAGAAGATGTGTATCAAAGATGTCAGAGTAGTTGGCAAGTCTCGTTAACAGGAAGCCGTGTTATTGTCGTCGTCCTTGGGCCTGAGAGACACCAGATCTCCTTAAGTAGCTCTGCATACAATCCATGAGTAATACCATAATTAAAAAAAAAAAAACAATTGCCATAGCTTCAGAGGATACATCCTGGCCAAAGGTATTTCCGTCATCATGATATCTTGAAAAAAGCAGTTAAAACTATATATAGATTACATCTATATGCATATACATCTGTCGCTCCCTCCCTCTCCTCCCTCTCTCTCTCTCTCTCTCTCTCTCTCTCTCTCTCTCTCTCTCTCTCTCTCTCTCTCTCTCTCTCTCTCTCTCTATATAATATATATATATATATATATATATATATATATATATACATATATACATTCTATTAAGCCAAATACTTAAAAATAGTAAGGTTTTTGCCTCCATAAACCCGAATTTCATCAGCGACGCATCAGCTTGAACAGGAAGATCCAGACAAAACCAAGAGCCGACACACAAACGAACCGGGCGATGCGCTTATTAAACGCACGGCATAACAGACCACTTTTCTGGGCGTCAATAATTAGCCACTTGAGGCCGTGTGAGAGGCCCTCCTACCGGGACGTTGCCAATTCTCTTCTCTCGAGGGGAAGGCGGCGGTGCCATATCGTTCGCGGGCATTCGAGGAGACGAGTCTTTCTGGAAAATAATAATAAAAAAAAAAAAAAATGCATTTGGGTCGGATAGATTAGGACCGGTTAAGGGTGGGAGAGTAGAAGCGATGGCGGTGACATCAGCTAATGCTTATATCTATATCTTTGTATGTATCTCATCTATGTCTGTTATATATCTATCTGTCTGTTTGTCTATCCATCTTTCTATCTGTCTGTTTGTCTATCCATCTTTCTATCTATCTGTCTGTTTATCTATCCATCTTTCTATCTGTCTGTCTATCCATCCATCTATCTATCTGTCTGTTTGTTAAAACACATACACACAGAAAGAGAGAGAGAGAGAGAGAGTCTGAAAGAGAGACAGACAGACAGAAACACAGGTCTGTCAAAATAAATACAGAAGAGAGAGAGAGAGAGAGAGAGAGAGAGAGAGAGAGAGAGAGAGAGAGAGAGAGAGAGAGAAGAGAGACAAACAGACAGACAGAGACAGCCAGAAACACCGAGAGAGGGAGAAAGAGTCTTCCTTCTCCCAATCCGCTGCGGCAGATAGAGCTGGATAAGTCAGGAATATCCTTGCGCCAGTCTCCGTGGATTGTGCTCTGGCGATGATCTCTTCGCGTTGCTTGAGGACTTCATTGAGGAATCTCTGGTGATTGCTGAGTGATGCGGTGTGATGAGGGTTAATTAAGCAAAGCCCAGATTGCAAGAATGAATCAACGTTGTCGTAATTGTAGCTTTAGGAGGAGGTGGAGGAGGAGGAGGGTGAACATGGTCGGAATGGTGATAGAACATTTCTGTGATTTCTTTGGCTTTTATTTTCAGGAAAGCTTCGTGAAAATGCCAGCGTAGGACTTAGTACAAGGTAATTACACATCAAACATTTCTTGTAAACGTATGATAAACGTTTCCTTCCGGTGACGTTGGCATAAGGCTCAGCTCAGACTCACCTGCATGTAGTCTTGTTTGTAATTGGACTTCATGGACTATTTTGCTTGTTATCTTTAATTCCCATTTTGTTTATAATTGCATATGCCTGATTTTTTTTTTTTTTTTTTTGCCGTAGCAACACAAAACCTGCTTTTCTGTAGTTCTATAAAGACTTGTTTATATATATATATATATATATATATATATATATAATATATTATATATATATATATATATAATATATATATATATTATATATATATATATATATATATAAATTATATATATATATATATATATATATATATATAATATATAATATGTTATATAATATTATATATAGTATTGGTATGATTTTTTGCCGCAGCAACTCAAGACCTGCTTTTCTGTAGTTCTATAAAGACTTGTTTTTGTTTGTCATAAGACCTCAAAGACATATTCTATTCTAAGAACACCCTTAATAATAAGACCCTAAATTAACTTTTCTAAAGACATCTTGAAGCCCAGGGTCGTAAATGTTATTCCCAATCAAAGCTAATTTCGTGTAAAACTGTGGATAACTTTACCATTCTCTGTGACCTTCGTGTACAAGATGGTCTTAAGCTCAATACTCAGTGCTTCTTTACGGACGATTTTAAGACATTATTTTGATAGAGGCTTATAGTCTTCTAATCGTTAAAAAAATCCTGCTATCATCATCATCACTTGTCGATAGAAAGACATAAGGAATTGCAATTATTTTGAAGTATATAACGAGGAAGGGGTAGTAACAGTGGCGATGATGGTAATGAGAATAATGAAAATGGCATTGATATCAAATATAAAGTCTACGCAAAATGCTATTCCATGAAGTAACATATTATACCGCGTAATATCATACACCATTATACTGTGACACGCGCCATAATAGTTGATAATAGTTAATTCTCACGTGGGGGCATAAACAGTGTATCGTACCAACTGCGTTTTTTCTCACAGCTAAAGCGAATACACATAGCAAGGGATGAGCAATGTAAATCAAGGAAATATACGTATGTTTAGCTTTTTTTTTTTCTTTTTTTATTAATGGTAAAAGTGATGTAGGTAATAATGATGATAGTGATAATAATGATATTGTCGAAAGTAATGGTGATAATAATAATGATAATGATATAGTGATGGTAATGATGATAGTAATAGTAATAGTAATGATAATACTAATACAGTTACTACTACTACTAATGATGATAATATTGAAGATAAGAATAATGATCATAATAAGGATAATGATCATGATGATAATAGTAATGATAATGATGATGATAACAGTAATTGTCGTAATGATAACAGTACTGTTATTTGCATCATTATCATTATTATAATCATTATTCCTATTATCATTATTATGATTATGATTATTTATTATTATCATGATTGTTGGTAATATTATTACTATTTATGTTATTATCATTATTTTTCATTGTTATTATTGTCATCATTATTCTTATTTTCATTCATCATTATCATGATTATCATCATAATCACTATAATTACTATTATCATTATTATTGATATTATCATCATTATCCTTATCGTTATTATTACTATTAGTGTTATTATTATTACTATTAGTGTTATTACCATTATTACTTTTACTAGCAATATTTTTTTATTGCTATTGACAGTATTATTATCGTCATCATCATTGTTATCATTGCTATTGATATCATTATTATTACCATGATTATTATCGTTATTGTTATCATTATCATGATTCTTTTGTTATCATTACCATCATCATCATTATTATCATTATTATTATCATCTATATCTTTGTTGTTGTTGTTGCTATTATCATCTATATCATTATCGTTGTTGTTCTTTTCATTATTCCTGTTCTTTTTTCTCTGCGCTCTGTGTAGATGTAAAATGTGCTTACAATTTGATTGATCTTTCTGCATCCACTTTAGAAATAAATGAAACTGCTGTCTTTTTTGCAAAATCTGAGGCAGTTCAATAAGTTATTCATTCATTCCATCTGTTCATTAGCATAAGCACGATAACATGAACAGGTACAGTACAGGTATTAATATGCAAATAGTCTTCCTAATTACAATAGTGTTGGGTAAACACGAACCGTAATATGCTGATATCAAGTAATGATAATGATGTAATATCTATATGGATTGTATGATATATGATTGTCTTTTGTAATGCTGGTATTAACATAATTTTCGATACCACAGATGATGACGGTATTTGAAATAATGATAAGATAATTAGCAGTAAAAATCTGTACCGCTAAAGTCAGTAATTATAATAAATGTAGCGTTTTATATTGTTTATCATCCTGTATTAAATCACGATGAATGGAAAGATCGTCTCCTGAAATATCCTGTCACCCAGTTTTACAGAATATTTATCAGGTTACATCAACCTGTGTATCAACCTGCATCACCCAAATTACTATCCTGTGGCACCCTGGTTGGACTACATCAACACGGAAAACAGAGCTATGTAATGGTACCCTGTTGCAGAGAGAGAGAGAGAGAGAGAGAGAGAGAGAGAGAGAGAGAGAGAGAGAGAGAGAGAGAGAGAGAGAGAGAGAGAGAGAGAGAGAGAGAGAGAGAGAGAGAGAGAGAGAGAGAGAGAGAGAGAGAGAGAGAGAGAGAGAGAGAGAGAGAGAGAGAGAGAGAGAAAGAGAGAGAGAGAGAGAGAGAGAGAAAGCAAGTAGAGTATGCATGCTAATACCAATGACCGTAATGGTAATATTAACCAAATGATATCAATGATAATCAAATAAGTAGCATAACAAATAAAATGAAATGCTTATATATAAAAAAGTTTGGAATGAACTCACACCAAGTGAAACATACGTAATATACATTCTCTCTCTCTCTGTTTCTCACTCTCTCTCTCTGTTTTCCATTCTCTCTCTCTCTCTCTCTCTCTCTCTCTCTCTCTCTACTTATCTCTGTTCTCCCTTACCCCCACTCTCTCTCTCTCTTCTCCTCACTCTGTTCTCACTCAGCCTCTCTCTCTCTGT